TAGGCTCTTATTGTGAGTGACGTGGGGAGCCATCAGAGAATTTTGAGCAGAGGAGTGACATGATCTGACTTATTTTAACAGCATCACTGACTACTGAGTTGAGGGTAGATAGTGGGAGTGGGGCTGCCAAGGGTAGAAATGAGAACTAGTAGGATTCTCTCACACAGGTGAGCTGTGGTGGTGGCTTGAACCAAGGTAATAGGGGTTGAAGTCTAGATATATTTTGAAAGTAAAGCCAAAAGGGGGGGAGGGGGTACTTCCCTGGTGGTCCAGTGGCTAAGACTCCACACTCCCAATGCAAAGGGCCCGGGTTCGATCCCCGGTCGGGGAACTAGATGCCACATGCATGCCGCAACTAAGAAGCCCGCGTGCCGCAACTAAAACCTGGCATAGCCTAAATAAATATTTTTTTTAAAAAGTAAAGCTATCAGGATTTCCTAATAGATTAGATTGGGGGAGAAAGGGAGAGCAGGTAGAGTTTGAGATATCTCTTAAACAACCAGGTAGAGTTGTTGAATAAACACTTTGGATGTTAGAGGTATGGAGGTCTGGAGTTCAAGAAAGACCTGGACTAGAGATAAAAGTTTTTTTGATATCATATAGGTAGTATCTAAAGCCACAGACTGGATGAGAATATCAGTGACTGAGATCAGCAGTGAGTGAAGTATAGCTAGTTTAAGAGAAGAGGACCAAAAACTGAGCCCTAAGGCATTCTCATGTTAAGAAGGCAGGGAGGGGACTTCCCTGGTGGTCCAGTGGTTGAGACTCTGCACTTCCACTGCAGGGGACATGGGTTCGATCCCTGGTCGGGGAACTAAGATCCTGCATGCTGCACTGAGTAGCCCCCCCCCAAAAAAAGCCAGAGAGAAGAGCCAAAAAAGGAAATCAACAAGGAGTCACCAGTGAGGTAGCAGGAAAACCAAAAGAGGGTGATCCTAGGAGGGCAGTGAAAAAAGTGTGTCAAAGGGGAGGCAATTCTGTTGAATCTTGCCAATAAGTCAAATAAGACGAGTTAGGATGGGAACTGAATTAACCATTGAATTCTTTGGTGAATATCACCAAGCCCAAGTCTTATTGCTTAGGGAAGGACTAGGTAACTACAGAGATTTGAAGTCCATTGCGTCATGGCAATAACCATTGTTACCTGATTTTTTTACTTCTTTCCCTGCAAAGTAGTACCACTCCTTTATGTCCTTGCTTCCCATCTTGCCCTATCAGTGTGTTCTGCAGGTTTTGTTTGCTACTCGAGTCTAGAGCTACCAGATGAAGTTTTCCCATGTTCCGGCATTTCCTATACCAACATCTGTCTTTTTTTTTTTTTTTTTTTGCGGTACGCGGGCCTCTCACTGTTGTGGCCTCTCCCGTTGCGGAGCACAGGCTCCGGACGCTCAGGCTCAGCGGCCATGGCTCACGGGCGCAGCCACTCTGCGGCATGTGGGATCTTCCCGGACCGGGGCACGAACCCGTGTCCCCTGCATCGGCAGGCGGACTCTCAACCACTGCGCCACCAGGGAAGCCCGGTTATATAGTTCTTGGCAAAAATATTCCCCACCTAACTTTTTCCAACTTGATTCTCCTGTTGATGATCAGGCTCTGGTTAGGTAATGGAGGAGAGGAGGCCTCAAGGTCGTACTGGTATTGGCATCTTGACATTAGCCATTTCAGACTAAAGAAATTTATCTGATATATGCAAATCTCCAGAACTGATAAAACATCTATTCTCTAAAAATCATTGTATGTAAACTGTACAGTAGGAGCTGTGTTCAATTACTTGAAACCTGGAAACCAGGAGAGGGACTATAGAGAACCTCTCTGAAGCCCATTCGTTGCTGTGATTCTGTGTACGCAGCCTGGGTTACCTTATACAGGTGGCAGCAATACTTCCTGTACCTGTTTTCACCTTCTGTCTCTTGGCTCTATTGACTTCCTCTTCATTTTCAGATTTTCTGGGTACACATTTGGGTAGGAAGAAGGAGAAATAATCTCTTATTAAAATTGTTGCCAAGGGGCTTCCCTGGTGGCGCAGTGGTTAAGAATCCGCCTGCCAGTGCAGGGGACACGGGTTTGAGCCCTGGTCTGGGAAGATCCCACATGCCGCAGAGCAGCTAAGCCCGTGCGCCACAACTACTGACCCTGCACTCTAGAGCCCGCGCACCACAACTACTGAGCCTGCGTGCCACAACTACTAAAGCCTGTGTGCCTAGAGCCTGTGCTCCGCAACAAGAGAAGCCACCACAATGAGAAGCCCACGCACCGCAATGAAGAGTAGCCCCCACTCGCCACAACTAGAGGAAGCCCGTGTGTGACAACAAATACCCAACACAACCAAAAATAAATAAATTTTTTTTTTTTAATTGCTGCCAAGAAGAGAAACCAGATGAAGTCACAGTGCTTGAAAGAGCAATAGAAACAGTTTTTCCATGGTTTGAATTTTCAAGCATTGATACCCTTCAGTTATTCCTTAGATCTGAAAGTTATCGTAATTGTATTCTAAGTCATCTTTGACAGAAAGATTGGTTTAGTTGATAAACTTTAGTTCTCTGGTAGCTGATTCTTTAGGACATGAGACCTTCTATCTGTCCTCCTTTGGTGGTACTTATTCTAGAATTGCCCTCTCCTGAAACACTATCCATTTAACAATGGATACCTGCTTTAGTTTTACTAAGTTCCTGCTTTAGTTCAGGCATTGCACCCCAGGTTCTAGGTGTGCAAGAGATCCAGTTTTACTCTCATAGACTATTCATTGTTGGCAATGTGATGAAATGTCCTGTGCTGATACTGTAGAGCTTTTGCAATCACAATACCATTGGATAGAATCTTCTTCTTCCCCCCTTTTAAATTTAGGACTTAAAAAGAAAATCAACTTGTACAATGACTGCCAGAAGGATTTAGAAATCAGTTATGACCTTTTGGCTCCACCCCTATTCAAACCTTTTCATCTCTTAAACGCCACTGTTACAGAGGGAACGATATTAGGCATTATAACCAAACAGACTCTGGTTCAAATACTGGCTCTGCCATTTACTAGCAACTTGGAAGAAGTCACTGAAATTCTCTGAGTCACTTAAATTCTTTTTCTTAGAGGCAGAAGGATTAAACAAGAGATTGGTACTAGGTTCAACCGTAAGTTTCTTTGCTAGTGACCACCCCAGTGTGGGTATGAATAGGAGTAGGATGTTGCAAACGTAGAATTCAGAAGAGATCCATGAGCAGGACTGCTACTTGTTGAATCAACCATATATAGAAAAGAAACTCGCCCAAAGGAACTCCTTGGGGTGGTGAGATCACTGTATTGAGACAACTGTTTTAGATTCCCATGGATCCCTTTTCCTTAATTCTCTCAAGTTTCTTTGTACTTTGACTAGGCTCAGGTTACCTTCCCCTCCTCCCACTCCACCCTAGGAACCTAGTGTACTCAGGCTGCCTAGGGGTTCCCATCAAGGCAGCCTACCTTTGGTGCTTAAACCTTTCCTGATCCTTTGTCTCCATAAAAACACACCTATGTCCTAGTTACTTTTCTTCTCCTTTATAGTTTATTAGCAAACATGATGATGTTGGGCTGAAATATGAATGGCTCTAAATACATTATCCATCCTGAATAATTCAAATATTAATAATGTCAAACATGGGGGAAAATTTAGGCAAAGGATATTTTTGTCACTCACAAAGTAGAGTAAGCACCTGGTGCTAGCCAAGTTGGCACCACCAAGGAGCAAATCAGTACAGTCTGAAACCTCTTGCTGTCATAAAAAAAAAAGATATGTACATGTCAATAAAGAGGGTTATCTTTCATGAGACAGAAGAGGTGAAGGAGGAATTGTGTCAGGAGGCCAAAAGCAGAAGACACCTTCTGCAGAACCAGATTATTTCTGGAAAAGGGATGTTGTTCTGGCCATTTTCCCTCCAGATACTGAGATGAGAAACGTTTGGAATAAATGTTTGAACAAGGTGGAGTTGGGACTGGGATGGAGGCGTGCGGAGCTGAGATAGTGTGTGATGGTACTTTGCGCCCTAGTGGTGCCATGCTCCTGGTAGGGTCTAAGAAGGCACTCATTGCTTAAATAAATGAACACTCATTTGTTTGTGTCTGTATGCATCACATTTTGCCAGTTGGTGGGTACTGAGCTGTTGATGGCTGCTCAGAAGTGACCTTATTCAGAACTTGGGTGCATTTGTTCTGTGTGAGTGTGATGCCCTTACCAGTGAAGTTGAACCTTTGAGATTGTCCCGAGTTCATAGATGATGACATTTTCATCTATAAGCTCTAGGCCTCTGGTACTTTTCACCATCGTTGAAGAAGAAAGCCTACAGGATGGTCCTTAAGATACAGCTTTTCTATCAATGACCTCCGTACGTGGTGTATTTAAGGCCCACACTCTCTAATTCTCAATACCTGGGCTCTGCTTATTATGAAAGTGACCCATATCTCCTTTCTTTATCCTTAGTTCTCCCTGCTTTCAGAGTGAAGAAGGGATTTTCTCCATTATTTTCCCAGAGGTTTTTGTTTGTTTGCTTTGTTTGCTATTTTCATTATAGAAAATGAGGGCAACTGGATCAGAGATTTTTTTGCGCGTTTAAGTAATTACATGCTTCTGGTTCTGCATGTCCCTGGCTCAGCTGCCACCTGTTCTCAAGCAGTTCAGTCTCATTTTGCTTATGACTGGCCTTTTTTAAGGTAACACTTGGATTCTATCTTGGGGATCAAAACCTTGAGAAATGTTTGAAGTGGCTGTGGCTTCATTGACAATGGAATTGCAGTGGGTGGGCGTGGGCAATGCTTAAAGACTAAATAAAGGCTCTTGGTAAGAGCACATATGCCGAGAGATATTTCATCTTCCTTCTTCCCATAGCAACTTTATCTGTAAGATTAAGCATTCTGCTGGTGGTATAGTTAATAAAATATCTCGGCTCTGGTTCAGAGCTGTTTGTTTGCCATTACTGGAACCTGTTTACTTCCATCTGTTTCGTCATTTGATTTTTGTTTCCTTCTTTCTTCCCAGGTGGCATTGGTAGGGTGGTCAACGGAGCCTTCATGGTGCTGAAAGGGCATCGGTCTATTGTGAACCAGGTCCGATTTAACCCCCACACCTACATGATCTGCTCTTCTGGTGTAGAAAAGATCATCAAGGTGAGGCAGCTTACCCTCTTGTCCTTTTAGAGAAATTATTGCAGTTCGTAAATGGAAGAAACTAAAACAATGTATGTAGGACCTCATAGCTAAACATACCGAAGGTCTATCAGAATTCTCAATTATTTTGACATATTATAAAATATGGAAAAATTGATGTTAAAGAGGGTGGTTTTAAAACCCTCCTTTCAGGGCCATTTTAAAAAATAATCACTAGGTTTTGAAACTAGATACTACCTGTATGCCACTACATTTCCATGGCCTCTGATCTGGAGTCTGATGAATTCTGCTTTCCAAACCCCATCTGGAGGTAAAGAAGCTATCATCCCCAAAGTTACTCTGTGTGCACTTTTCCTTAATTGCTGTCCTCATAACTGAGTGGCTACCGGAACCATAGCTAACTTGTCTCAGGACATATCAAAATATCACAACCACATGCATATCAACCACTGCATGTGGTTGTGATTGAGGCTAAACACTTGCATCAACTGCACATTGACTGAATGAACTTAACCCTGCCAAGGAATATTTTTAGAGCTTGCAACTGAGAGACCCAGCCTGGCCTGCGTCCACGGAAGGATGGCCCGCTGCCCATCACTCACATTCCAGTCGCTAGTAACCCTTTTCCACATCTGAGAAAATGAGGGTTCAGGGCAAATGACGAATTCTTGAGGACCCTGTGATAACTTGACTATTAAATAAGGATAGATGATATCCCCCACTCCCCAGCAAAACATAAAACTCCTCTTTTTTTTCCCCCAAAATGACATTGAAAACCTGAGGGAAGTTTCAGGGGAAAAGTAAAAATTGATTTGTAACAAATTGATAGTTTTCATTTTATTTCATTCTTTAAAAAAAACCAAAAAACTATACAACTTGTATCTGAGGCAGAGGAAGCTATCAAAAATGTAATGTTGGAGTATGGGTCAATATTTTTATTTGTCCTTATTCCAACTTCCTTTATTTAGGTTTTATTGGTCCTGTGGATCAGGGCTGACTTTCATGATTGCATACATTTATTTACCCATAAATAAACAGGGCTAGAACAGGACTTCTAGATCATTTTTACTGACTTTTCCTTTTGTAGATGAGGTTTAAGTTATAAATTTACTGTCTGGGGTTAATTATACAGCTAATTAGTGGTAAGGCTAGCATAGAGCCCTGTTCTTTGTTCTTCCTAGTATACTGCCACATTTACCATGCTAGCGGGAAGGCAGCAAGCAGCCTGATGCCCCTGCTGGGTTTGATCATCTCAGTAGTCCTTCACTTGGGCAGTCATTGAATTGCCCCTGTCCCTTGCATTGTTTTCCCTTCTCCTTTAGCCTGTGACTCATGGGTTGGCACAGTAGTATGTCCTCTCTAGGCCCGTTGACATCATTCTCTCAGGGAGCTCTGCTTGAGCATCTCCTTTAGAACAGAGATTCCTGCTTGGCCGTACACTCTGGGTTGCTTCTGTGCTAAGTCTCCCCAATTATTGTTTAGTCAACCGGAGTCCTTACCCGAAAGGTCATAGGTTGGAAACTAGCCAGGTTCTCAGAGAAGAAGGAGAAGAAAATATTTTCTCTGTGAAAATATTCAGACTAAACTATGGAGCTCACTGCTTTCAGGTTCCAGTGAGGTCTGAACATTGCCTCACCAGTAGGCATGTTTAGCCATTTAAGACCTTAAGTCAGTACAGTTAGTACCCTTGGGCAGCCCTTCGAGTCTGTCTCCCATCTGTCAACTGAGGGCGCTAACAGTGACTTGACACCTAAGAGTGCCTTGTAAGTTACCTGTGCCTGACAATTTCTGACTATTTTAATAAGTCACTTTCTTGTTGCTGTTTCTGAGAGGATCAATGGCTCAAAGAGCATCATTCCACCATATTCTAGTCCAGCCTGCTTTTCTCTCTCCACCTCTCTCTCTACTCACTCCACCTTCCCCCTGACTTGTCCTTTACTGATGCCTTTCTGGCCTGGAGGAGCAGAGTCCCTATTGTCAGGGCCAGCCTCTTCTCACCCATAACAGGTCTTCTATCCCCTGGAACGCCCACAACTTAGCAAAAAAGGGGGTTCATTTTGTAGTTAAACATAAGAGATAGCAAGATGGAGCAAATGCTGGCATTTTTTTCCTCAAAGACCAGTATTCATTTACTCGCCCTGTATTTGTGAACCATACCTACTGTGTGCAATTTGTGCTAGGCCCTGTGCGGAACACAAAGAAAGAAAGGTAATGCAGGTCCCCATGGGAATTGGTGACCCAGGAGGAGAGACAAGAAATAAAGGTAATGAAAAATGCAATAAGTACATAAGAGATAGAAACAGTGCTGTGTGGGGAGGAAGAAATTTTTTTCCCCATGTGGGGTAATCTCAGTGTAGGTAATACTTGGACTAGATTTTGAAGGAAAAAGCCTGCAAAAGAAAAGAAAGGAGTAAGTTGGGAGGACCATTCTAAGGAGAGAGAATGGACATTTAATTATTTCACTGAATTAATAAATATTTATCGATCACCTGCTGCATTCCAGGCAGTGTGTTCATGAATAAATGCTCAGAAGCAGCAAAATGTAGGACCAGTTTAGAAAATGATCATTTGGCCAAAGTAAAGAGCACAGAAAGGGAGGGCTAAGATGTGAGGCAGGGATGGTAGGCCAGAGGTGGGCCCAGGAAGTCTTGGAATCCGGATTAGAGAGTGTGGAGCATCCCTGAATAACAGCTTAAGTCTCTATCTGTGTAGTTTTTCTTGGTAGGTGGGCAAATGTCTAAATTTAGTGTGATAGCACAAAGAGAGAAGAGGGCTTAGAGATGCTACATCAAGCATGTCATGGTCACCTGTGTAGATCAGAACACTTGTTACTTAAATTGCTTTCCATTTTGATGTTGTTTTGAATAAGAATGGAACTGCATCCTTTTCCTCAGCAGCCTCTTGTGCTAAACTTTTCACTGGGCTTGAAGAGAAAGCTGCTCATCCCTCCTACTTTTCTCATGAACTTTGCCCCATGAAGAGAAACATCTAGCCACAGTTAACATGCAACAGGAAGTTGTGTTTTCATTGCTTCACTTCTGAGTTGTTGACTTTCAGTGTAAGAAAAACAACAAACAATTTCACAAATGTTTGAAATTGATATTTTAGGGATGAGGAAGGACTAACATAATCGGGATGGTCAATGCTTCTGCTCTTCAAAAGTCCCTTTGAGGATGAGTCTCAGACCTTCTAGTTGAGGTATTCAGTTGCCAAACGAAGGAGGAAGCACCACAGCTATTGGTGCTTTGGTATACCTTATATCATTTGATCATTCTCATTTCTACAGTTGAGAAAGAGGTTTCAAGGATGAAGTCATGTTCTCTGGGCCATGTGAAGTGCTGCGGCTCGGGTTCCTACCTGTTCTACTATAGCTCCCACAGCTCTGTGCGGCAAGTCCCTTGAGGATGAAGACTGGCCGTCTGGGATAGGGGTTTTGTTTTGCTCTGAATCTCGGGATTGCATGAGACCCATCTAATTTCACTGTTTAGATAAGGAAGCTGAGCTTCACCCACGGTCACCAGCGAACTAGAGCTGTGTGGGAACCCACATTCAAGACTCTTGCCTCCTGATCCAGCGTTTTGTTCCATTACTCCAAGCTTCAGGAATGAAAGTCTACCTCAGCTTAATACATTCCAGAGCGCATGTAAATGCCAACTTTCAGTATTTTGATTTTCATTCCTGAAGTGAAGATATAGGAGGCTGGGTAGTAGATTAAAATCTAGGCTTGTTGGATAGTTGGGCCAGCAAGCATCTCACCATTAACATTTTGTAATTCTGTTAAATTCTGAGTTTCTGGGAAGTACATATAGATTTCATATTATGCAACATGGTTAGTAACATTTTCCATTTTTAAACTGGGGGAGTGAGAAATTTAGCCCAGAATATAGACTAAGACCCCAAAACACCCTAAAGGCTTTGCCTATTGGACCCCTCAGTCTCTCATTTATTTATTTACTTACTTACTTACTTATTTATTTAGCTAGCTAGCTAGCTGTGCTGAGTCTTAGTTGCAGCAGGCAGGATCTTTGTTCCCACATGCGGGATCTTTAGTTGCGGCATGCGAACACTTAGTCGCAGCATGTGGGATTTAGGTCCCTGACCAGGGATCAAACCCGGGCCCCCTGCATTGGGAGCATGGAGTTTTAGCCACTGGACCACCAGGGAAGTCCCCCCCTCAGTTTTTTTCTAAGCCACCAAACTTATTCCCAGAGACACCTGTTTGCAGAGATAGTCATTTACAGCTTGGGCCATTGCTGAAGGCCAGGTCTAAATGTTTCCGGAAAATTGAGTCTCACAAAGAATTTGAGAATTGCTTCAGGCTAAGCCTTTATTTTCTGCTACTTATTTTATGCTAACTATATTCCAGTGTTTCTTAAAAGTTGGTCCCCCCACTTACCCCTTGAGTGCTAATTAAAAGTGCAGAGCCCTGGTAACCTACCCATGACTTACTGAATCAGAATCTCTAAGGGTGGGGCTCAGGAGTCGGTATTTTTTTTTTAAGATAAAACACCTTGATTTATTTATTTATGGCTGCGTTGGGTCTTCATTGCTGCGTGTAGGCTTCCTCTAGTTGCGGCGAGCAAGTGCTACTGTTCGTTGTAGTGCTCGGGCTTCTCATTGCGGTGGCTTCTCTTTGTTGTGGAGCACGGGCTCTAGGCGCGCGGGCTTCAGTAGTTGTGGATCGCAGGCTCTAGAGCACAGGCTCAGTACTTGTGGCACACGGGCTTAGTTGCTCCATGGTATGTGGGATCTTCCCAGACCAGGGATCAAACGCATGTCCCCTGCATTGGCAGGCGGATTCTTAACTACTGCACCACCAGGCAAGTCCCAGGAGTCAGCATTTTAATTATTCTTCAGGTAATTCACGTGCATGCCAAAGTTTGAGAACCACTGCCTTAAAACTCCCCTGGGTAAGATAATGAAGCTGGAGATAGGAGAACACCTGAGGAGTTGTGGGCAGGGAACAAAGTTGAAGGAGGAATGAATCTGAGTTGGGAACTGGTGAAGACACTTAGCCTAGAAGATTTCTTCAGCCCCTCTTGAACTGGGGATCCTCCAAAGAAACAGTGTCTCCCAGGAGATCAAAGTAAATCACGGAGGGAAAGGGCCTCAGGAACAGAGCTTATAAGAAGGTGAATTTGTCCTTGGACAGCTTTGCCAAAGCAAAGCCATTGTCTTGATGGAGGATAGGGGATGAGGAGCCACTGTTTTCTGGGTTGGGTGCCATCTAAATATAGACACCAGCCTGTCAAGGCAAGAAAATCATCTGGAATTTCATCTGAGTTGCCATGACTACCAGCTGATGTAACTGAGCTTCTCTGTGCTGCGCTGGACCAGTCTGGCAGTCAGGTGAAGCTCATCGTTCTCATTTGCAGTGACAGCTTAATTACCTTGAACATCGTTTTTGCATAACTTATTCAACTTGTAAAGTTGGGCTTTTGCATTCAGACAGAACTTAGTTTGAATCCTAGTTCTGCCACCTTTTGGCTATGCGCCCATGTCTCTGACCATGGAGTGGAAGGGTATTAAGGGATGGGTCTGTGGTCTTGGAAGGTGTGTCCTACCTATTCCTGCAGCTAACAGAAGAGTTGGGGAGCAAGCCAGCAGCTCCCTGGTTAAGAGAACCCAGATTCCTGGGTAACTGATGCCTGCACGTCCGAGAGGGAACTGCAGTGTAGGCAGCTGGCTATTCTTATCAAGCTCCAGTAAGCAATTCCCATTAGTTTAAAATAGAAACGTTGCAGTTGGGGAGAAGTAGAGTTACGGGCTGAAATATTAACTGTCACAGAGGACTGACTGCTGGGTCTCTTTTCACTTTGGAAAAGTGGTACCTCTCCAGTCTTCTGAGAGTTTTGAACACATTGGCCGATCTTCAAGTCATCCTCTGTACTCTGAGATTATGAAGGGGGTTATTGTAGTTTCCAAGCTACTAATAGAGGAAGCTAAAGGGAAGAGGGGTAGTGGCAGACAGGGTGTGTGTTTATCCTGGGCCTAGAGACAGGACTTGGGTCTCCTGAAACTAGGCTAATGCTGTGTCCTATACCATGCTTTGTCCCACATTTGAATCTGGAAGCTTCCATTTTCATATGTGGCCCACATAATCCAGTCTGGATTATATTTTTAAAGTTGGTTAGCAAGTCCTGGCTCAGTGACGGGGAGGGTCTGGGGAAGCTCTGCCTTAGTGTTCTTTATGGCCGACAGCTTTAGAATACATTCTAATCAGCCCTCATTGGTTTTGTTTCCGCCTTCTGTGCAGATCTGGAGCCCATACAAGCAGCCAGGATGTACCGGAGATCTGGATGGTCGGATTGAGGATGATTCTCGCTGTCTCTATACCCACGAAGAGTACATCAGCCTTGTCCTGAACAGTGGGAGTGGCCTGTCCCACGACTACGCCAACCAGTCTGTGCAGGAAGACCCCCGGATGATGGCCTTCTTTGACTCCCTGGTGCGTCGCGAGATCGAGGGCTGGAGCTCCGACTCAGACAGCGACCTCAGCGAAAGCACCATCCTCCAGCTGCACGCAGGGGTCAGTGAGCGTTCGGGCTACACCGACTCCGAGTCCTCGGCCTCGCTGCCCCGCTCCCCTCCGCCCACAGTGGATGAGTCTGCTGACAGCGCCTTCCACCTGGGGCCCCTGCGGGTCACTGCCACAAATGTGGTGGCTTCAACTCCGCCACCGCCCACGTGCGAGGATGCCACCACTCGCCAGCAGCGCCTGTCTGCCCTGCGGCGCTACCAGGACAAACGCCTCCTGGCTCTTTCCAACGAGTCCGATTCAGAAGAGAACGCCTGTGAGGTTGAACTGGACACAGATCTCTTCCCCCGGCCACGGTCTCCCAGCCCTGAAGACGAGTCCAGCAGCTCCGGCAGCCCCAGCAGCTCCGAGGATGAGGAGGAGCTGAATGAACGGCGAGCGTCCACCCGGCAGCGGAACGCCATGCGGCGCCGGCAGAAGATGCCTCGAGAGGAGAGGCCTGGTGCCCCGACCAAGCCCACTGACACCTGCATTGGAGAAGACAACTATGACTACCCCCAGATCAAAGTAGATGACCTCTCTTCTTCCCCCACCTCCTCTCCTGAGCGGAACACGTCCACTCTGGAGATTCAGCCAAGCCGAGCATCGCCAACTTCTGACATGGAGTCAGTTGAGCGCAAGATTTATAAAGCTTACAAGTGGCTCCGCTACTCCTATATCTCCTACTCAAATAACAAAGAGGGAGAGAGCTCGCTTGTGTCTGGGGAGGCAGATGAAGGGAGAGCAGGAACCAGCCACAAAGACAACCCAGCCCCTTCTTCCAGTAAGGAAGCCTGTCTAAACACGACCATGGCCCAGAGGAGCCAGGACCTGCCCCCCGCAGGCCACAGCAAGGACGCTTTTAAAGAAGGGACTTCTGCCATAAATCCCAGCAATGGCCCAGGCCATGAGCCCAGCGGTCACCCTTGGGCTGAGGCACCAGAGGACACCTCTCAGGACACGAGTAACACTGGTGGCTCTGTAGAACACTCTTTTGAGACCAAGAAGCTCAATGGAAAGGCCCTGAGCAAGGCCCTGAGCAGCCGGGCTGAGGAGCCACCCTCCCCTCCTGTCCCCAAGGCATCTGGCTCCGCTCTCAGCAGCGGGTCTGGCAACTGTCTGAGGACCCAGTCTGATGACAGTGAGGAGAGGAGCCTCGAAACCATCTGTGCCAACCACAACAATGGGCGCTTACACCCCCGGCCCCCTCATCCCCACAGCAACGGGCAGAGCTTTGGGGAGCTGGAGGCGGTGGCCTGCTCGTCCCCAGGACGTTCGGACACTGATCATGATAACTTGTCCCTGACAGCGATGCTCCTACACAAAGATTGTTGTGGGTCTGAAATGGCCTGTGAGACCCCCAGTGCTGGAACGAGAGAGGACCCCACTGACCCCCCGGACACAGACAGCAGCAGGGCTGTTCATGGCCATAGTGGCCTCAAAAGGCACCGAATCGAATTGGAAGACACAGATTCGGAGAATTCCTCCTCAGAGAAGAAATTAAAAACATGATAAATACAAAGGGAAAACAAAAAGCTATGAAAAGTAGCTTTATAAAGAATTTTAAATCCTGTTTAGTGAACACAGAGGAAAGGAAAAATAGTATTAAAGGCACATAAAACCAGGGCCTGAAGTTTTGTGTCTGATGCTGCTCCCTTCTATTCAACAATGGGTCTGATGTTTAGCTGGCCACTGGCTGTGCTGTGTTAAGAAAGGGAAAAAAATCCAAGTGACTCCTTTCTAGTAAGACTTGAGCATAGTGTACCTGTGCAGATTCTGTTAAAGTAAATCCTCGTTGAGATGTTTGACTTGTTCTTGTGTGTGTGCGCTGGCATGTGTGAGCTCATTGTCTCAGACCTTTCTTTCTATTCTCCATCAGAAAGGATCTATGGATCTGTATTTTTTGCCATCTCGCCCCATTTACATGCCATAGGTGTTCTGGTCTTAATAATGAGTGCCTGCCTGCTAAATCAGGTTGTGTTGCCAGTGAGTAGTGGATTTATGCTGAAAGAATGGAGACGAGAATGGAAATAGGCCTTCAGCCCACTGGCTGTGCTGGAAAGGAAAGCATGGTTCCTTTCTTAAAGAGATCTTCCATGTTTTCTCAGTGGCACTTCTTCATTGATCATTTAATGTAGACGTACTAGAAGGGGAGCGTTTTTAATGCTAATGAGAGGTTAGCACTTAAGATCAGATTTGAGAGAACATAGATAGATCCCTGATAAATTTCACTGGTTGCAAATTGAGCGATGGTGCCATACCATACTGTAGGGAGGCCATAAAATATAACTAGTTGTGGGTAACACTTTAACAAGTTAGGTGCTAGTTCCTATGAGGCACTCAGAAAGCCAGCAGGCTCTTCCTGGCCCCATGTGGTGGCATCTAGGCATATTGAAAGAAGGGGAAAGACAGCTCTCAAGAGATTTGTGCTCAGACTACTAAAGTGAATGTTACAGGTGTGTTAATGAAGAAGTATAGGAAAGAGCAGAGTATGGCACTGCCTTCATTTAATTCAACCCAAAATGGTCAGAATTGGTGGGACTGGCATCTTCCCTCAGGCTTGCTGTCCACAGAGACTGTGGTGTTCTGACTGGACCTTGCAGAGCAGGAGGCATCTCGAAGTAACAGATTCTTATTGAGTAGGTCTGTTAGGAGGCAGAGAGTATGGAGAGAGGAGTCACTGGCTCTGTTTCATTAAGGTAGGTAAAGATTGAGAGAGGAAAAGACCAGGAGCTTTTCAGCATTGCAGTGGTGGTCACACTCACTTGGTTATTAATGAAGGCCTGTACAAGACGGGAAGACCTAGGATGACAGATACCTTGTTGGCGTGGATGTCATGAAAAGGCAGGAGAATACTGGGAAGAAATGAGGGACAGAGAGAACACTACAACTTTCTTGAGCACAAAGGTGCTAGACAATTAGGAGACCAGCGGCACTGGCTTAGAGAGGACCTATCATGTGACTGGTGTGGCCTCACTGATCCAGCGTTCTTTTTAGGGAAGGACCTGTCCTACTGGAACTGGGACCAAGGGGAGACAGCCTGTGGAGGATGATGACTTGGGTGAATTTAGTCACTGGGGGAAGGGGGGTTATTTATAAAGGAAGGTTGTTGATCTAAGCCAAAAGGAGATATCACCTTGCTAAGCTTTGTTAAAAGAAGGATGTGCCTGGTGTGTGTGGTGTGACTTGGGTGTAAAAACATTGTCTTAGGAGAAGGAGACCAAGGAGTGTGAGTAGCAGTGGGGATGCTTACAAGTTAACAACTGTAATCTCACCGGGGAGTGGGAAAGTGATTCTGTAACCATTAGAATTACTTTAATCTGTAATCAAAACGGTTCTATGATTTGTCTTTGACTATTCACAGATAATTGTAAATTCTGGTTTTATAAGCCCAAGTCATTTTACATTTGCTTTTCCAAAATTTATTAAATTGGAATTTTTTAATCCTTTATATACAAAAAAAAAAAAGATATAATCACTCAGTGTGTGTTTCTCTTCCCCTTCCTAGTCAGCATTCCCCTTCCCAATCTTTTTGTTTTGTATTATTTAATCTAGTCAGTAGCTAGCCACTTCTGACTTCTCTAAGGACAATCCGCATATCTTTCTGGGGAAGAAGTCAAGTTCCGCTGGGAACTAGCCACTTGGTAGTTACTGTTCCCAAATGCAGAACTTGGTCTTTTCATGTTAAGAGCCATTATCTCATTTGGGTACTCAGAAGAGAAGTCAAAGTTCATTCTGGTTCAACTTTAGTATCCAAGAAAGACCTTTTTAGCAAGGATGGCTTCCATCCTTGGGAGACATCCCAGGTTCAGCTTGCCAAGAGATAGGCCCCACAGCATACCCACAGAAGCAGGCTGAGGAATGCCTGTCTCTATAGCCTTTCCACTCTCATTTCCAGAAATCTTCTTTCTGATCATGGAGAGATCAGAAGTGGTAGTTCCTGCCACTACCACTTCCAGGATCCCTTCACCTAAACTTGGCAGGAACTACCACTTCCAGGGTCCCTTCGCCTGAACTTGAGACGCCAACTTTGGAGGCACATTTAATCCTCAGATTCTTCCATGATAGGTATTTTTACTAACAGGGCAGATGGCACTGATTAGGTTATGAGCTATTCAAAAGTGCCTCTTAACGGTTTTTTTCCTGCATCCTGTACATAAAATTTTAAGTGGCTGGTCCAGATTTATAAAACCTTCCCTCCACTTTATTTTCCACCTGGTTTTGTAAATGATTCCCATGTCTGTAGGACAACAGGTAAATGAGTTAAATGAGAAGTGGGCTTGGGGCAAAAGAAGGTTGCAACTGCGCTTGATTTACTAAGCCCGGAGTCCCTTGTTTGTCAAGGTGCCTTCCTCTGCTGAAGCCTTACCTCCTCACAAGCCCCGCCCCTCTCCCGGCAACGCTAGCTCTTCTCTTGTGTATATGCAAATAAACCTATTATTCACTTCTAATGGCTTCCTCTTCTCTTCCAGGGAAGACTTGGTTGCTTAGACACCCCTCCTCCTTCATTTCTTTCCTGTTTTAATTCTTGCCTAATTGAAAACTTGATTCAGAGCCACACTGAAGACTAGAAGCAAAACTGTGGTGCACTACATCTATGCCAATGATCATTGTCACTTCTAGGTGTTGGGACAAAGGTTACATTGGGACAACAGCATTTGGGGTAGGAGGAGGTACCTAATTGGTCTCCTTCACCAGACTTAGACGGACTCAGGATAGTGAAATCCTGGAATTGACTCTTTTATTAGCTGGAACTGAGGGAATGATGCAGTGAAATGACATTACAAACAGCCTCCAAAGAATTATGTTTCCTCATGTTTCCAAATATCAAGTTGCTTTTTCTGCCCTGTCCCAGACATGCATTGCAAACTTTTTTTCTTAACAGAAAAAAAAAACAACAAAACACCTTTTTATATATATATATATATATATATATATATATATATATCCTGTCTGTAAAGCTGCCTCCTTGAGTTAACTGAAAAATTCTTGCCAAGCAAGACTCTTGTGAGGAAAATCTATGCTTCCAAAGGAAGACTGTCCTTCCCTTAGGACCTAAGCAAGACCATGTGCCAGCGTTGAAATACTAAGGTGAAGTAAGGCTCGGTGAGTCCAGACTTGCCCACAGCAGCAGGATAAGGGCTTCGGACAAGCTGTGTGGTTTCTCTCAGGTGGGGTATTTCAGTCTAAGTGCTCATTTGTCCTTGAGCGCTCATACTGGAGTAAAAATAACATTAAGTGGCTTGGAAGTAAATTTGAAATTCTTCAAAGAACAGTGCTTCCCACATGCAGCAGAAGAAAAATGTATATGAGAAGAAAATCTAAGCCATCTGCACCCTGATTGCAATTCACTGTTAGTACAAAGGTGGTAAGATGCCTTCTCAGAATGGAGGCTGACAGGCAAAGATAAACTTCACTGGGGCCAGCACTAATGTGGCCAGGGACAACAGGAGGAGTTGCTCAGTTCTGTTCACTCAACAGAGTTTACTTGAGCTGTGCAGAAGGGTACTGCAGGGCTTATCTACAAGACAGTCACATTGTAAGGAAATTGGGTATCTAGTATTTCATATTACTAAAATTGGGAAGTGACTCTTTTCTGGAGCCCAAAGCCATGAGCTAATGGAATATTCCAGCTGAAGTACAGAATGCTAGCTTTCAAGACTCCCTGTATCTGGCTTTGTTAGAACCTCCACCAAGGCTGGAGAAAGGCAATAAAATACTAAGATATCTGGGCACCAACCCAGATCCTTAAGCATGAGAGACGTTCTTGGGAACGTCTCGGGAAGCTGGCATGGAAGACATTTGGAGGGAAGGAGATTAGGAAGACTGCAATAGAAGGAATGAAATGCTAGGTGCCTTCAAACTGCTTTCCAGATCCACAGAACTAGTATTGAACGTGCGATGGGTTGGCCTCTAAAACACTAGGTCATAAAGATTCTTGAAAATCCCTAAGTAAGGGAATTCCCTGGCAGTCCAGTGGTTAGGACTCTGCTCTTTCACTGCTGAGGGCCTGGGTTCGATCCCTGGTCAGGGAACTAAGATCCTGAAAACTGCAGTGCAGCCAAAAAAAAAAATCCCCAAGTAAAATCCCAAGTTTAAAATGGAAGTCAATAAAAATGCAGGATTGGTTTGGGAGAAATTCCCTTTGCTGGAATGCATAAATTCCATTAAATAACAATCACATAATGACCTGAGCACCAGCACACTTAAACATGTACCTAAAACAGGTGAGTGTGTGTGTGTTGGCAATTGGCATAGGCTCTCAAAGGGTAACATCTCCCCGTTGGACTATTCCTAGACACTATGGCTAGCAACACTATTTGGGGCCTCCCCCTACCACTTTTTTAACTCCTTTTTTCTTCATGTCTCAGAGTCAGTATTTTCTAACATTTCTAGTCTCTCCAAGACCCCACCTTAAATTGCTAAAGCTAATGTCTGTTCTTTTCTCTTCCTCCTAAGAGAGACCTGTGAGTCGGATGGAAGTGGCATTGAAATACCAAAAGAAGTGGATT